ACCGCACAGCCGCATGCAAGGAGCGAGTCACAAAGTCACGTGAGAGGCCAGAGCGTGGTGTGTCAGTCCACCTGGTCCCCCGCTGGGACAGGGGAGGTCTACAGGGGGGCGGTGGGACCTCCACCCAAAACCCTTTGCTGTGTCACAGGACACCAGCCGGTGAGGGCTGGCCAGGCCAAGCCGAGTCCAGCTCCGAGGAGCTTGTCCGACCAGAACTCTGGCGGACGGGGACCAACCCCCTGGGAAGCCTGCCACCGGCCCAAGGCCAGAGAAGCCAGTTCCGGCCGAGGGAGGCCTGTGGCCTCGCGGTGGCCCTGGGTCACTGCCGGGCACAGTGGGGATGGCCCTCCCACCTGAGGAAGTCCCCCAGGGGCAGAGCTGGGCCACCAGCATGTCTCAGGACTGCAGCGCAGTGAGTCCTGGTCCATCCTGCTGGACCAGGGGAACAAAAGGGCAGGTGGCCACCAAATGCCACCTCTCCTCCTCTTTCTGAGTGGGATTTTTTTGTTTGTCTTGCAAGGATCCCATTTTCCCTCCATCTTTAGGAGTTGGGTGCGCTGGGGACAAAGTTATACATAACTTGGCCCCCAGAGCCAGGCTTAAGGGGGCATGCCAATCTCAGTGAGCGCCTATTAGCTAGCACCCAGATGTGGGGAGTCTCCTTGTGGAGGAGAGGGCACTAGGGCGTCAGGGGGGACCAAGGTCAGACACTGGGACTCCGGGCACTGGAGGAGGCCGTGGAAAGGGGGGTGGCGGCTGCCGTTGGCCCTCCCCACACCTGTGCACACCCTTTCCCCTACGACTATCTCCCTCTGGCTCTTCAGCCAAGGGGCCTCTGGGCTTTGGGGTCCCTGGGGACAGTCAGGGGGCAGGGGCCCTTCCCAAGTCCTGGTGACAAGAGTCCAGGCCTCGGACAGCCGCCCATGAGCCAGTGGTTCCCACAGACCCACCCCTGGCCTCAGCCCAGTCCACCTGTGGGACAGGTGCAGGTCAGGTGCTGTCCCTGAGCCCGTGTCCTCAGCTGCAGAGCGAAGAAATCAAAGTACCTCTCTCTCCACGAGTGTGGGGACGGGCGCAGTAAATGTTTAATAGAAGGTAATTGTTCTTTTATAGGCCGGAGGCCCAGGACGTGCTGAGCCTGGGGCCAAGCCTTAGAATATGCTTCCACCATGACGAACGACAAACACCAAAACCTGTTCTTGTCTGAACCGCTGGGATCTGCATTCCTCCCGAGAACCTGCCAAAAGCACGTGGCTGTGCCCGTAGGCCCCCGGGGGGGGGGAGTGGGCGAGGGGCCTCCACCCCCTCTTAGGGGCACGCCGGAGGGCCCGGGCTCACCAAGAGGTGGCTTCACGGGGCTTCTGAAAACACAGTGCGAACCCCCTCTTGCATTGTTGTCCCTAGGAGCACATTCTCTGGGTCCTGCACCCTGTCTCTCAAGGGACTAGTTAATTCTTTTTTGCTCACCCGACCATGGGTACCCACGAGACTCCTGCAGCCGGTTAACCTCCGACCTCACAGAATTACTGTCCCTGTCTTAAGCAGCATGGGACCAAAGAACAATAGTTCCATTGTTCCTACCCCGGGATTCATTTCCTGGCACAGACCCTTTAAAAACAGTTCGTCCATGATTATGCATACATCGCTTGTAAAATAATGAAATAGTCCATACGCACGACAGAATGTGGTTCTTGCAAAGAGGTATAAAAAAATAAAGCGACCACCTATGGCATCCCTGTGCAGGCTGAGAAACGGATCGTCACCAATACCATCACGCCCAGAACCCAGTTCCCGGCCCCGTCCGCTCCTGCGAGGGGAAACCGCTACGCTGAATCGCGTGTCCGTCCGTTTCTTTCTCTTTCAGTTTCACCGTGTAGGCGTGTGCCTCTGAGCACGTTGTCATGTGGTGGCGAATATTTACAGGGAGGCTCAGTGTTGGCGGGACTCGTCTGTGGCGGGGGCAGCTGGGGCATCCCCGCCTTCCTTGCCGTACGGAACCCCACTGTGTGAATGTACCACCGACGCCTGTCGGTATTTGGGTGGTCTCCAGGTTTTTTTGCAGGAGAAACAGTATTTCTGCGAGCATTCCCGTGGGAGTTCCTGAGCACGCTGCAAGAATCTTCAGGGCACGGACTTAGCAGTGGAATTTCTGGGAGAAATGTTGCATCTCTTCGACACGACTGCATGAGACTGGGCAGCTTTCCACAGCGTCTGGGTCAGTCCAGACCCTCCTTCTTTCTCTTGCCTGTCCCCGCACCTCCCCCCCCACCCTGACTAAATTTTGGCCATGCACGGTGTGGAATAACTTTACTTATTTTCGCCAGTTTAGCCCTTCTTTGTGTTTGGAGTGAAATAGACACTACGTGAAGTTTACTATTCCAACCGTTTCTAAGTGCACAGCTCAGCGGCATTAACAACATTCCCTGTGCAACCATCACCACCGCCCGCGTCCAGAACTTTCCACCCTCCCGAACTGAAACACTGTCCCCAGTGAACGCTCACTCCCCGTCCCCCACCCCCAGCCCCGGGCACCACCACCTGCTTTCTGGCTCCACGGGGTTGACTGCTCGGGGACCTCGCCTAAGCGGACCGGCGGTGTCTGTCCTTCCTCGTCTGGCTCACCTCGCTCAGCCGGATGTCCTCCTTGCTGTTTTCCCCGTCCCGCGTACTGTAATGAGGTGTGTCCGGGTGTCGTTAGAAGGAGTTGGCTGGAGGATTTGACCTCTTGCCGCAGAGGGAGCTGACTAGCCAGTCTCAGTAGGATTCTGAGGCCGACGCTTGAAGATCACAGGGCAGGGGACAGAGGCTGTCTCAGGCGGCTCAGGCTGGCTGGTGAAATGCCATGGGGTGGGTGGCCGAACCAACGGACATTTATTTTCTCGCAGTTCTGGAGGCTGGAAGTCCAAGGTCAGGGTGCCAGCTCGTTCCGTACCTGGTGAGGGGGGCTCTTCCTGGCTTGTAGGTGGATGTCTCCTTGCGGCGTCCTCACATGGCCTTTCCTCGCAGTGTGGACGTGGAGAGAGAGGCGGACACACACACACACACACACACACACACACAGATCTATTTTTCCTATAAGGGCCATCAACCCTATCGTATCACCCACCAACCCACCCTACGACCTTGTTGAACTTTAATTCCCTAAAAGCTCTATCACTATATAGATCCCCATATAGTGATACCTTAGGGTTAGGACTTCAACATATGACCTGGGGCAGGGGGGTTATTATTTAGTCCGCAGCACATATAAAATCAGGGAAACCAGACAAGCTGGGACCCATACACATGAGCTGAAGCCCGCAAGGCCAGACTGTAGCCCTGACCTTGAGGGTTTCCTGCAGAAGCGGGGGGTGGGGGGTGGGGGGTGGAGGGAGGGAGGTGGTGGCGGGCTTATCATCGAAAGAGCTAAACACACAGCCGGCCCAGGAGCTGGGCAAGCTGGGCAAGCTGGGGATCTGGGGGAAAGGGGGCCGTGCAGGCCTGACCACGGCCTCGTGGGAGGAGGTGAGCCTGCTGACCGGCATCAAGGTGTGGGAGTGAAAACTGGCCCTGGTTCACTTCTGCCCTCCAAATCTCCCAAGATCTCTCTCGGTCCAGCCTAACCAGAAATGCGTCCTGGTGAAGCTGTCCCCGCGCAAAACCACCGCATCTCCTAAAAGTTCCGACACTGTGTTTTCACATACGGTCTTCCACTCACCCGCGCTGATTTACACGTGTGATGGGACGTGGGATGCTGACTCCGTGTTTTCCCATTTGGACGATGGGTTCTCCCATGGGACCTCTGCACTGATCTGCATGCCCCGCCCCCCCGCCCCGTGCCCTGCTTGTCTCCACAGACTCCTGAGTCTGTTTCTGGGTGCTCTGTTCGTTCCCTCACTGCTCTTTGCCCTACACGAACACCCTTTCATAGTTTCCACAACGACGTTGTCACACTCGGTCTCTTACATTCGATTTTCTGAATGGGATGGCTTAGTTGGGAATAATCCCGCCAAGTCTTTGCTGCTCTTCCACTGTGTCTTGGTGATTCTTGGCCCCTTATTCTGTCTCGCTCTGGCACATTTATTTTAGGCTAAGCTCATCAATGCACTCCAAGACACATGTATTTGGTTGTAATGATATTAAACCCATTATGTCGATGTAAAGAGACAGTTGCTACAACATTGTAGGTTCTATAACATTGTACCTTCTACACACGATTGCCTATCTCTCCATTTATTCAGTCTTCGATGCCTCTCAGTGAAGGCTTATACTTTGCTCCATAGTAGTTTTCACGTACTTTGGTAGATCTACTGAACTAAGGTAACACATTTCCTGTTGCCATTTAAGTGGTATACCTTTGCAGTTTTTCTCAGTTTTTTATCACACACTTGAAAGATGCAGACAATGAGGAGATTGGTACAGGGAAAACCTGTACCCTCTCCTCCCAGACCCAACAGTTATCAGCATTTTTGCACATGTGGCTTTTTCTTTTTCTTCTTTTTTATTTTTTAGATTTTATTTATTTATTTTTAGAGAGGGGAAGGGAGGGAGAAAGAGAGAGAGAGAGAGAGAGAATCAATGTATGGTTGCCTCTCACATGGCCCCCACTGGGGACCTGGCCTGCAACCCAGGCATGTACCCTGACTGGGAATCGAACCTGCGATGCTTTGGTTTGCAGCCCGTGCTCAATCCACTGAGCTACACCAGCCAGGGCTTCACTTGTGGCTTTTTCTTGATGAACCATTTGAGGTTAAGAGGCAGACAGTGTGACGTGTCTCTTCAGAGTGGCATTCTCCTACCAGCTCACACAGCCATTTGCACAGTGAGTGGTACATTTAATATGTGCATTCCTAACGCTTAGTTGGTGGTATGGAAGAGTGCAGGTTATTTTTGTGTATTTCCTTGGTACTCATCTGATATGGGCAGCTAAACTTTCTTAATGCTCATGATTTTCTCTTGATTCTTTGAGGTTTGTGTGGGTATACAATGATATCTTCAAATAATGACAAAATTGTCTCTTCTTTTGTAATTCTCACTAGTTTAATTTCCTTTTCCTCATTGGCTACCAAGGCTTAAACCTTCAGTACAATGCTGAGCTGAGTGTTTCTAGAAGTAATCTTTTTCTTTTTCTTTTTTAAAGATTTTATTTATTTATTTTTAGAGGGGGGAGAGAGAAAGAGAGGGAAACATCAGTGTGTGGTTGCCTCTCAAGCGTCCCCTACTGGAGACCTGGCCCACAACCCAGGCATGTGCCCTGACTGGGAATCGAACCCACAGCCCTTTGGTTGGTAGGCCAGCGCTCAATCCACTGAGCCACACCAGCCAAGGCATCATCTTTTTCATATTATCAATAAGGGTATTTTGTGGGATTTATACAGATGTCTTTCATCAGGTAAGAAAGTTTTCTTTTACTTCACTTTTGCAAAGGACTTTTTGCAAAGTCCTTCTGGACATGTGTTGAATTTTATTAAATGTTCGTTCTAAATATGTTAAGATAACTTTATAATTTTCCTGTTTGAATGTGTTACTGTGTCGGGCTATACCGAAAGCTGCTTTTCTAAGTTAAAGCAATATCACAATCCTAACATAATCCAACTTGGTCATAATCTTTTTAGCACATGGTTAGATACATTTTCCTAATATTCGTTTGGGATTTTACATTTACATTTATGAGTTAGGCTGGCTTGTAATTTTCCTTGAACTGTCCTTCCTGGTTGAGGCATTGATGAGTTGAACAGTATTTTCGATATTTCTATTCCTTTGAAGAATTTTTGAAACCCTGCAATAGCGTGGTTCTCAATTGTTTCTGAGAAATAACCTGGAAAACCGGCTGGCTGATTACTTCATGAAGGTGCCCATCACTAAACTTGCTCATGGCGTTCTTCGAATCTTCTACATTTTTACTGTCTTGTTCTGTTTGTTTTGGTGGTTGGTTGGTTGACTTGACCTTTCATGACCACGAGGGAGGACGGTGAATTTATGAAGGTCTTGTCGTTCTAGACATTTTTTCTTCAAATAGTTTGGAGACTACGTTATCAGGTATGCACAAGCTCATGACTGTTACATTGCCCCAGTGACTTGTTTATCTTATCATTGTAAGGTGATTCTCCTTACTCTTAATGCAACTTTTTATTCTAAAGTCTGTTTTGTCTACTCTGAGCAGGGCCAAACCAGCTTTCTTTTACATGTGCCCTTTCTACCTATGTCTCATAAACTTACAGCTGTCTTAAAAAGTAGGTACTCTGATCATTTATGTTAAAAAAAAATTCTGTTCATATAAACTGGGCCGTCTGGAGTGCTTGCATGTATTATGATCATCGACCTGTTTGTATATAGTTCTACATCTCCCTTCATCTCGTTTTCCTGGGTTCCGTTTCACCCTTCCTCCCCCGCCCCAACCTTCTTCTTTGCTTTACTGCCCTCGGTGTCATTGACTTTCCCCCTTTATCCCATTGTTTCTGCGTTAGGTTCAGACACAATCAATATGCACTCTATTTTCATCCTTTCGTAGTCATCCTTTTAACAAAACATTCTACAAAGTCTAAAGTTAACCAGTATGTTTCTTCTTCTCCAGAATAATACAACCATTGAAATGCTTTAATTTTGTTCATCCAGCTAGGGGTGATACTACGTTTTCATGCTGTTATCTTCCAGCATTTCACTTCTAGTTTCTGTTGCTGTCATTGTCTCCTTACCTTTACAAATTAAACATCTTCGATGGTGTTAGTTTGTACTGTCCATATTTGGTTAGACTTACCCACCTTTTTACCATTTTCTTGGTCACCATTTCCTCTGGCATTCCCTTCTGGGATTATTTCATGTTTTACTGAACTTTTCAGGTTTCTTTATTGTGGTCAGCACTGTCTCGATTTGTCTGGAAATGTCTCTTCCCTCCTTCCTGAAGGATACCTGTTGTATAGGATGTAAAATTCTAGGTTGACAATCACTTTTCCCCAACAGTTTAAATATTTTATTCTACCATATTCTGCCTTCTTTTGGGGGATATTTTGTTTCAGGAGTTGTTTAGATCTCGTCTTTATTTTGGGGGGTTCTGCAATTTCACTATGTTATGTTTAACTGTGGATTCCTCTTTTTTTTCCTGCTTGGGATTTGTTTTGCTTCAATAATCTAAAAATTCATGACTTTCATCAATTTTAGAAAGTTCTTAATCATTATTACTTCAAATATTGTTTCTACCATGTCCACTTTATTATCACATTTAGAGACCTAATTAGACATATTTTAGATTATTATATCTATTCTTCATACCACTAGGCTTCTATGGCTTCGTCCCTGTACATGAGTATCTTGGGGTTTATATTTCATGTCATTGATTCCTTCTTCAGCTATTGAAAATGTGCATTTTTTAATTTCTAGAAGTTCTCTTTAGTATTCTCTCCCCATTTCTGCCAGGTAATTTCAAACAATCTTTTCTTCATATTCATTTTTTTAGATTCTCCCTTTTACTTTATTTAAATAGCAAACATGCTTACTTTCTCATCTGTGTCTAACAATGGCAATATCTATTATTATATTGCTTGCTGGTTTTGCCTACTTTTATGTCTCATTTTAATTGCTTTTAACTAAATCTCACTGTGATTGTGGCTGGTGTGGGGATTTCTCCTGGGTGAAAGGGTGTATTAGTTAGGGTCCTCCAAAGGAAGCAGAACTGATGGGTGTGTGTGTGTGTGTGTGTGTGTGTGTGTGTGTTACAGGGATTGATGCACGTGACTGTGAAGACCCAGAAGGCCCATGACCTGTGATCTGCAAGCTGGAGAACCAGGAAAGCTGGTGAGCCCAAAGACCCGAGGACTGGGGTGCCGATGGCTGAGGGCAGAGGAGCAAATGCCCCCTTCCCCTGCCCCTTTGGTCTATGTAGCCCCTCAAAGGATTGGGAGACGCCCACCCCATTGGGGAGGATGGATCCTCCTCACTCAGTGTACTGACTCCATTGTTAACCCCCTTCCTAGCACAACCTCGCAGACGTGCCCCGAAAGGACAGTTGACCAGCTGTCTGGCCGTCCCTTAGCGCAGTTGATTGGCATGTGAAGTTAGCCGTGCCCGGCAGTGTTCCACTAGAGAGGACACCATGAGTTTGCTTCTGCCGTGTGCCCCGGGCACCGCCAGTCTAGGACCACTGGGTGGGTGGAGGTGGCTCCCCGAGCTGGTGGTCTGCTCCTGGGGGGCTGTGGGTACCCCAGCAAAAATTCCAGAATGTTGCCAAAAGCAAGGGAGACGAATGTTGAAGAAACAACCACCGCAGGAGGGTGAATGGAGAGACCCACACAGACTCCCCCGTGTGTAGCGGGCTTTGGGGCTTTGGGGGAGCAATGGTGTCCTTCACTCCTAGGGGGCTCCAAGGCCACTAGTCAAAACAGATGAGAGAACTGCCACCACAAGAGGGTATGACCTGTTTGGTCTGGAGGGTCTTCTACTTGGGACAAGCTGGACACCGGTGAAGTAGGAGAGGAGGGTAGGACTGGGGGGACCGCAGGACAATCCCCGATTGTGCATCTCCGGGGGAGGGCCCAGGGGCCGGGTGGAAGAACTCACTAGGGAAGTCCAGCTCGCAGGGAGGCCAGGCCAGGAAGGAGCGCTGAGCCACGGCAGCACGTGACTTGGAATGAGGTCGGTTTTCTTGTGTTTCCGCCTTATTCTGAAGCAATCCACATTATTTGGCGTACTGCAAACAGTGTTGGAAGGAGTCTTTTAGTGGGGGCTGCTGGGTGGCGGGCAGCCATGCCTTCTGGGCTAGCTAAGGTTGATCTCTCTCGCTCCCTTTCCTCGCCCGCTGTCCCCTTGTCCTTGGTGGGCGGGATGTCCCAGAGCCACTTCTGGGGGCGTTCCGAGGTCGGGGGGGGGGGGAAGGGTCTTAAGACGTGAGGGCAGAGGAAGGCGGCTCAGGAGGACCACAGAGGGTCCTGCGCACGCGGCGCCGCGCCCTCCGGCGCTAGTGCCCGGGTCGTCGGTCCCCAGCGGCCGACTCTTGGGGTCCTCGCCGCCGGCGCAAAGGGCAGGCGGGGCTCGGGGACCTGGCTCGGGCCGGCCGTCTACAGGAGCTCGAGAAGCAGCAGCTCCTGGTTTTACCAGGGGTCTGGCCAGCGCTGGCCGGAACCCCTTTCTTTCCTCAACCCAAACGGAGTCCTAGGGCTGGAAGCGCCCGCGACAGACTAGGTCCTACGGACTTGGGGAGGGAAACGCGCTCCTCTCCAGCCCTAAACCGCGGGCGGGGAAACGAGGCCCAGGGGGCATCCCGGAGCTCCCTCTAGGTCCGGCCGCAGGCCAGGGCCAGGAGCCCGTCCCGGGGCTTTCCGTGGGGGAACGCCTCCTCCCGCCGCCGCCCGCGCCCCGCCCGGACCGGCCCAGCGGGAGCCGCAGCTCCGGCCCGCCCCTCCCTGCGCCAGAGGTGACCGGTACCTGCACGGGGCGGGGGGTTGTCGTCCTGGGCACTCGGACACCGCCTCCTGGGATTAAAGCGAGAGCCGGGGAGGGTCGGAGACTCCCTCGCGGGACCGAGGAGGCCAGGAGCTCTGTAGGAGGCGGAGGAGGAGGAAGGACCAGGGGCGGGAGTGCCGCGTCCGGAGAGCTGCAGGTAAGCGTCTCTGCGCCGGGTGCGGGGTGAGGGCTCCCGGGGGGCAGGCGGAGGACCTGGGCGCCGAGCGTGACCCCGCACTCGGTGGGGGTGTGGGAGGTGAGGCCAGGTGCGCGCAGCGCGCGCGCGGCAGGTGCCGGACACGAGGAGCTGAGCGGGGCGAGGCGCCCTCCGTGGAGCCTGGGACGGCCGCCGCGTGCCTGGGACCCCTTGGCGCGCCGCTCGGAGGCCCCTGGCATCACGCGTCCGGGGCAGGTGGTTCTGCGAGTCCCTGGCCAACTGGTCGAAGGAGAGGGTGCCTCGGGGGTCCCTTGGGCGGGTCATTTCGGTCCGGACCGGCTGCTGCGCCACTTGCTCTCCGTGGCCCCGAGATGGGGACCAGGGGTGCACATTTCTCCTTCGGGAACGAGGAAGAGGAGGGGATTGTGGATCCTTTTCTTTGTTTCGGGAAAATCTCTGCAGCCCTGGAGTGTTACCTGAACTCCTGTTTCTTGGTTCCCTCCCGAGGTGGGGAGAAACTGGAAACCCGCAGAGATGCCCCGAGCGATACGGCCGGCGCGGCGGGGGACGGTGGGGAAAGGCTCCTGCAGGGTTCCCGCGCGAGGCACGAGCGGCTGGGCCGCCCCCGGGGAGGGACTGCCCTTAGCCCGAGCCCATGGCCGCGCCCCGGCAGCGGCGATCACAGCCGTCTACCTGGGCACCGGGCGCCCGCCGGAACCGGTCGGGCGGAGCAGTCCTGGACTTGAGGCGCGCGCTCCCTGCACGGGAAGTTGGGGCACGGGGAGCGTCGGTGCACCGCCTGTCCAGGCAGGACTCCGGACAGTGGCCCGGCGGCAGCCAAGCGCACCAGCCAGGCTAGTGGGCAACTTGCTCGCGGCTCCGCGGTCCCTGCGGGAGAATTGCTTTACAGCCTAAAAGTCTGGGCGTCCGCTCCAAGGGGCCCTGTTTGCGGGTGGCCCCCGGGCACTGGCTCCTGCCCAGGCATTTGCGTGTTCGAAGTCACGAGCGGGTGGGGCACCGGGCCGCCCCGCCTGAGGGTGCGACGCCGTGGTCCCGAATCCGGTTTGGGATGCACGGACGACAGACCTGGTGGGGGTTGGGGTGCCCGAGGTCGGCCTGCTCGGCTTGGTTCCCCAGGGCTCTGCCTCCAGGCTGCGGCACCCCTCGATTCAAACACGCTCGGTATTCCTGGGGCTAAGGTCAGGGGCGCCCACAGGCGCGCTGAACCTTGTGTTCCTGGTGCTGGCAGCTGTGGAGAGCTACTCAGAGAATGGAAAATTACAGAGACAGCAAAGAGGAGTTCCAAGACGTTTAGGAAGTCTGAAGTGAGGGGAGGGTTGTTGACTTTGCCTGGGAGGTGGGAACCTTCACCAGGAAGTGAGAATGAAGCCAACCTCCCCCACCCCGGACGAAGGGTGAGGACAGGGAATGTGGCTCCAAGGACAGGGGACCTAAGTGTGCAGGCACCGAAGTAACCCGGGCTCCTGGGCCATCCCTGCTGCTGAGGTGGGGGGGGTGGTTCTGATAGGCCAGGGGATGGGGAGCCCCCTCCCCCAGGGATTCACCAGAGCTTGGGCCCTGCTCCCCCAGCTTTCCCACAGGTGAGGTCTGCCTCCACCCCCCACCCCAGCAGACCCTACTGGGCAGGTGAGGTTAGAGCCGCAGGCAAGGGCCCCACTGAGCGAGCAAACACTCAGCGCCGGGCCCCCTGCAGATGGGCCATTGAAAACTCTCTGTTTGTCCAAAATAGCAACAGGGGAGCAGCAGGGTCCCTGGCTCTTGGTCTGCACATTTGTTTTGTTCCCGGGCGACTTCCTTTGTGTGGGTGTCCCCAAGGTCAACCTTGTAATGAGGTCGGGCTCTGTTGTTCCTGGAGTGCCTTGGAGCTTGGCCCCTCACGCCCTGGCTGCCCTGCCCTGCCCTGCCCTGCCCTGCCCCGCCCCGGGGTGGGGGGGAGGGGCGCCTTGGTTGTAGGAGCAAATTGGGCCGCACTGATATTAGGATAACAGCCCATATGGACGCGGCACTTTCTTTCAGGCGGGCGTTATTCCTTCCCTATGTAACGCCGTGGGGAGGAAGCTGGCAGAGAGGCCGGCCGACGTGTCCAAGCTCCCCTAGGGCACCTGGGGATGAGGGCTGGCCATCTGGCTCTTGCCTCCCTTAAGGAAGGGGGGGCGGTGAGCGCATGAAAGCCTGTGGAGAGGAGGAGGAAGGGATGCTGAGAACAAGGCCTGGGGATCCTCACGGGAAAGGGGCTCGCTTGTGGGCTGGGCTAATGTCCCCCTAAAACCAGCCCCCCCTGGGCCGTGTGCTGACCCCTTCCAGTGTCTCCCGGCAGTGTGTCTGGGGCTCCTCAGTGGGCCCGACCATCCTGGGGGAGGAGGCATCCCGGGACAAGATGCTGGTGACATGTCTAGTAGAGAGAGAAACCTAGACGCCCACAGGACATCGTGCCAGGAACAGTCGTCATCTTATAAGTGTGCTGACTGTCCTGCTGGGCCCAACCTGGGGGTGACGGGCAGTCCGCCAGGAAGCACAGACCAGCCAGCACCCGGCTGGCTGGTGATTCTGACTTTTTTCCTCCTAAACCTGCTGCAGGAGTCCTGGGGGCCAGGCAGGGGTGGGGGGAGGGCTTTGTAATAATGTGGGGTCATTGTCCTGGTTCCAGCTGCTGCTGCAGACTCTGGGAGTGAGGAGTCTATTCTTCTAAATCTTCCTGAAACTCCCCCTCCTCTCTAAGCCTGGGGTGTGGAAGCAGAAAGGGAAGACAATTTATCGACTGGTTGGTTTGGGTTACTGAAGGATCGGAAGCTGTCCCAGCCGGGGAGGGGTGCGGAGGAGGGTCTGGAGGGGCGTTGCTCCCTGCCCTTCTCTCCCGCTGCTCTGGGTTCCTCCAGGGCGGCCCCACCTCCCGCAGTTGCTGAGCCACTGGTGCTCTCCATGGCCCTTCCCTGCTTTCCAGGGATCCCTGAGATTGAGTGTGGCCCAGGACCAGTTAGGTGGCTGCTGGGCATGGGCCTAAGAGATGAGATAGGTACTGGGCTGGCTGTACATAGCCAGGGGAGCTCTGGCTGGCGAGTCCTCAGGGCAAGTGAACGCTGGTATAAGGGGAGGGGACACGGTGCCCCCGTGACCCCCACTACAGGGGAAGCCCCTGAGGCTAGCAGAGGGCTGGGCTGCTTGCGCAGGTGACCTGGGGACCGTTTGGAGCAGGAGTCTGAGGTCGGGAGGAAGAAGAGCCCAGCCGGCCTGGGACCCGGCTTGCCCCGGCCACCAGGATGTGGTCAGGAGATGAGGAACTGGGACGTGGGCGGCGGGGGGGTGTCGTGGGCAGCCGCAGAAGCACCTCGGGAGGGAGGAGGACACTGATATTCAGGAGGGGGAGTGTGAAGAAGGGAGGTGACCCCGAGACACGCTTCTGCTCTTATTAGAGGTGAGTCAGGGAGGAGCAGGAGGGAGGAGGAAAGGACTTGTTCCAGGGGACAGTGGCAGGCGTGTTTGGTTTCGGCGTCCGGACAGACGGAGGTAAGGCCTCAGACATCAATGCGGGGGGAGGCGGGGGGCAGCGTTGGGCGGAATGGAAGAGGGGGTGCGGACGCAGAGATGTGGTGAGGAAGACAGAATGTTCGGAGGCACCAGGTGCGTGCAGGTGCGCCTGCTGCAGCCTGGAAGGGCACGCAAGGGCAGAGCCGGTGGAAGAAGGAGGGGCACGCGGGCAGGCCGAGAAGACAGGGTGCGGGGCTGGCGGTTTGGGGGACACTGCTGGAAACGGGTTTCCAGGTGAGAGCCGGACCCGGAGGCGAAACAAAGCCCAGTCTTCATTGTCGCCGGTTCGTTCGCTCGCGGCGCGAGACCCAGTGTCGGGTTCCCTTCGGGTCACTGCCGTCCAAGGGGCCTTCCTGGCCGGGCGCCGCCCCGACCTCATTTCAGCCGGCGGCCTGGGTTTTCTAGGGACGGGGGGCTTCGCTCTGCGAGTTTCTGACCACACAGAAAGCAAGGGCGTCCCGTCCGGCCTCCCAGCGGAAGCCCCATTCTGGTCTAGAATATTCTTGAGAAGTGATCGTTCCAGTATGAAATCGGACATTTTTCGGATCGATAAGGTGACATTTGAACTTTCTCCTGATTGAAACATGGTTTCCCTGGACTGAATTCAACTCGCCTTCTTGATACTTCTGACCATTTCGGTCCTGGCCTCGTCCTTTGGGGTCACCCAGAGTCAGTGGGGCCCCTCAGGTACAGGAAGGTGGGTCCCAGCGGCCCACACCGTGTCGGGACCGAGCGCTGCCCCCCTCTGTGGGGCGTGTCCTTGTTTATGATGTGATCCCCATTTCCCAGACCGACAGGGGCGAGGTCTTTAGCCAGTGGCCTTTGCACACATGCCCCCCCGCCCGAGAGACCCGGGGCTCCATCCCGTCAGGGGCGCACTCCGTTCCGGGCCCCTGGACCTGTGGGCTTTGTCCGGGTGCGGAAGCTTTCCAGCTGCTCTCACGTGGCATCTGACTCATTTTGCCTTTACAAAACACACACACACACAAAACAAAACACTGGAACCGTTTCTTTGTAGGATACTAGCTAGACTTAAAACAAATAAAAATAAAAAGGGACCGCACCCAGTGCCTGCCCTAAAGCATGTGTGGGGACAGTGAGGCCCTCATCAGAAAAGGCCTTGGGATGTTGCAGGCAATGCCTCTCCCGGGGTGACGTCCGTCTGCGTCTCTCGTCACTGTGTCTGTGCCACTTGCCGACGTCCCCTGCACACGTGTGTGTGTGGGGGGGGGGACTGTTGCGTAAACCCACCGCTGCTGCTACCTTGAACCGTGTGTGACGTCCCCACAGGCCCGAGAGCGTCACTTTGTGGAATGTGGTTTTGCTCCACACTGGAGACCTAAGGGACTCTCGTGGGCCATTTGCTCACTGGGTAGGGGGGGACCTGCTGCGGTCGCTGGCTTTGGAGTTTGAA